CACGTCTCACGAGCTCGACTTCAACAATACGACTCTCTCTGACTGCAGTTCAATTACTCATTACCTACACACACATTGTTTTCGTCACGTTGTGACCATCTTATATATACTAGCTACCTTATATCTAGTAATCTCCCGACAATTCACGAAGGTTCCAGAGAAGTGGCGTGACATTAGTCACGTGACCTCGCTGACGCAACACTATGTTTCCGTTCTTTATGGGAATTACACATGCGTGGAATAATACCTGTAGTTGTCCAATGTTTGTGTGCGTCTAACAGTATCTGAAAATATGAATTAAATATACAGAAGCCGTTTGAGTTCATCAGATGAGTTTGAGAGCATGTCTATGATTTGACTGTTCGGTATCTTAGCTGTAATGATGATTTCACTGCTGATGAGCATGAGCGTAACTTGATGGTTTAGAAAATATGTTCACACCTTCAGATTTCACTTTCGTAAGAGTCATCTGCTCCTATCTCTGTGTTGTATTTCTCACTGTTGTGAGGGTTTCCGTGTGTGTTACAAGTATTGCTGTAACATCATCATCATTGTATTTGCGTGAATGAACATGTTGCGTCACTTCAAAAGTTTCTTCACGTTAGTTCAATATGGAAAGTTTTTTTATAGTTCTCGCTATCAAATAAATGAATAGATGTGAAAGTGTCCTTGTATCTTGAAAAAATTCAAGTTTGTGACATTATCATGTAGGAAGAATCCATACATCATTCTTATAACAGTATCTCGGCTTATTTTACTTAGCAAATTTCGCTGAATGTCACCTGTAAACTTTGTCGATGTTAGGCGGCTTAAAAACCTAAAGTCACCTTCGCCACGTACGTATAACACGCCATGACAGTGTCATTATCGACCAAATCTGTACTGTACAGCTAGGCTGGTTATCAGTTACTCGTGCAACCTGGCATAGGATCTGAAATTAATTTATTTTATAAATACCTAACAACATTTAGCATGATATTATTTTAATTGTTGAAAACATATTGTTGCGTCATCGAGGTCACGTGACTGGTGTGGCGCCCTCTATTTTCTAGAACTATCTTGTTTTTTCATGAATGCTCTTGTATTTACTAGATAGAGTAGGCGGGTATATATAAGAGGGGAAAACGTGACGCGAGAGAAATGTAACGTGTGCGTAGAGAGTGAGTAATTGAACTGCAGTCAGAAGTATTGTAGACGTTCGTTGTTACAGCGTTTGTTTAGCGCGATTGTTGAAGTTGAGTTTATCGGTAAAGTTATATTCGGAAAGAATAAACCAGTTTTATTAAGTAAAGACTTGTGTCGTTAAAGTTTCGTCGGAACGAAGTTACGGAAAGTTAATTAACAAACGGAGACGTAACAATATATTATTGTACACAATTCATGAACACATATGAAATATTGATTTTGACAAAATAAAAAATAATTTATACAGACACAATACTCTGTTTTGTTTTTATTGATTTTCTTGCGAGATGGTTTCGAAATCTCGAATATTATAACTGATCAATTACAGACCATATAATAAGCATTCATCTTGTTTATGAGGGTCTGTTAAGCATTCTACTAGCCAACTTGTATGCAACATTATTATTTATATGCAAAGTATTACTAATCTAATAATTTTGTAATACAAAACTAGATATATGCTGTTCAGTCCTATTATTGCAAGCGAGCTTTGCCAAATATCAGCAAATTTTGCCGGTAAAATTCGCCAGCAAAATAGCCAAGTGCAACAAGCCCACTAATATAATAGTAGTAAGTTGAGTCTATAGCAGTCCATTACTATACCATTGTACAACTTGAAGACCAACAAGTTCCATACAATACTGATTATTGTGGCATTTGTAGCTGACAATTCTAATATTTTCGTGTGTGTGGGGGGGGGGCGTTCCTTTGTTAGGTAGGCCTATAATAATTATGAATATCAACAAAACTGAACTACTATTATTACTCCATTATTACAAAATAATAATCTGATCAAATTCATTTAAGCAAAACGAAATGTTACTATGGTCTTTTATTCACAAATCCCCTTCCAGAGGAGTGTCCATTATTATTCAGCTGAGCATTTTGAAAGGCAAATGGTGATTCAACATTTGTAGTGATCGTTGCAGATTCCTGCAACTTTCTTATTTTAGAAGATTTGCTCTTTTGGCATCTACTGGTTTGTCTCCTCTTTTCCAACATTATTTGTTCGAGATTTTTTTCTCAGATATTTATCGAAAACATAAAGCTACGAGGTAATAGTCAGGAGAGAAGTATGGTGCTGTAACTTCTGTGTACGTCCACGCAGCACGTAGTCATGCATGGACAGAAGAACTATACAAGTATCTTCGATGACGAGGAACCCACTTTGAGACTAATAATGGCTGGAGACGGCTTGAATGGGTAATGAAGAAAAACTTTAATATAAGTTGCTGTTATGTTAAACTTATATTAAAGTTTTTCTTCATTACCCAATCAAGCCGCTTCCAGCCATTATTACACAAGTATCTGGACTATACGCACTGAAGGGGGGGGGGGGATCATGCGGCTAGTGTTATTATTATTTTTCGCCAAGAAATATTAAAGTTTAAATATTATAAAAATATATAGAAATGAAAGGCAAATATGAATGTTAAGACTTGCCCCCCCCCTATATGTAGAAAGTTACTGAGAATCCCTGTCTATTGCATAAACAAAATTCTAAAAATAGACTAGTGGTTTAAAGAATGAGACGCATTTAGCAGTTAAAACACTTTGCTCAAGAGGCACGAATGTGTTTTATATATACCAATGTTAAAGCCTGCAAGAACAGGTAAACATATTGGCTGTATATTATAGGTCTAAATATATTTAGTGTTTATTATAATGTTCTACATCAATTGGCCATTCAAGACAGATAAAGGACAGTGGTTTTAATTTATGAACTAGGGTTTAAAAGTTATTAAGTGGTAAACTATAAAATTTGAGGGGACACTACGGCGGGCAAGTCCGCTAGTGTACACGTAGATGAACTTTGGAAAACTGGGTATCTACGTCGAGAAAGTTCTTAAAACTGACGAAACACTTAATAGACTTATGTCTACATATGAATTTAGGTGCTGATGTGTAAACGCTATGCATCAAATAGGCTCACTTCATTGTGCAGTTGAAATCACTTTTAGCTGATCTGCAATGTAACTGTTTCTGCATGTGTCTAAAAAAGTGTTTCTTTCATATTACTTAAGCTTTTAAAGCCTTTATGGTTTTTCTTTTACATGGTCTGAAGATGATCATTGGTTACTAGTCGAAAACCTGATATTTAACCCGATATTTATACAAGAAATTGATGGGATTTAAAATATTTATATTTATTGATGGATTACAACAGGATTTTTTAAATGAAAGTTTTGAATACTGTAATCTAACAGTGTTGGTTATTAAATCAACGATAATTAACTCATTACCTTAATAAACTTGTTTTCTAGGAACTTGCACGCCTTGCATCCGAAAAACTCCACAAAGCCACAAGATCACGCTCATATTTTCAAGAAATTCACATTCTCGTTCCCGAAGAATGGGGCAACCCTCCAAAAGATTTAAATCTACCACAAGAGCCCGCCACTTTTGAATCTTTTGATTCTGCAGATTTCCAAATCTCTCCTAGGAACCATGATAATATGGAAACGAAGACAGTGCGCGCACTCTGTGGAAATCCCCAGGGTCCAGTAGAAATACCCTCAACATATCTCTTAGCCTTGACTGGACAGGGAGAACTAGAGTGGACAAAAGCGAGTTAGAAAAATCTTAAATTTTAATAATCATATAAAACTGTTTAAAAACTGCTATTTTGTGTATTTTTCCGGTTCTATTTAAGAAAAAGAGATTATATTATAAGCCTGGTAGTTTTAGACTTCTCCTAAGTATGAGCTGAAAAGTTACATACACTTTAGTCATTTGAGATCAAAAACTTAATCTAATGCGGCCCGGCATGGCCAGGTGGTTATGGCACTCGACTCGTAATTCGCGGGTTCGAATCCCTGCCCCACCAAACATGCTCGCCCTTTCAGCCGTGGGGGCGTTATAAACTATTCGTTGTTAAAAGAGTAGCCCAAGAGTTGGCTTAAACTACTAAATTAGGGACGGCTAGCGCAGATAGCCCTCGTGTAGCTTTGCGCGAAATTCAAACCGAATCTAATGCACGTTATCTGGTGTCATATATGAAGTGAAATCTTTCTCGAAACATATATATTTAATGTTGGGGCCCATCTAAATTTCCTTTTGTGAAAACATACTATACACTTATATATAATACACGATATGAAATATAATTTAATTTGTTTTTTATAACGATCTAAAACCCAGACCAAGTAGTAACCCGAAGGGACAGAATAAGTCTACGGACTAACAACGCGGTGGACACAGCAAACAGCCCACTATGGCTCGACTCTAAAACAAACAAACCAACCAAGTATAAAATTAAGTTACATTTGGTATCATTTAATGCTCAAAAACTTCGACGGAAGGTTAATTGTAATTTCATTTGATATTTCATAATGATCTAAATCTCCAACAGGGTATAAAAAAATCGTTGAAGTTGGTTTGATATAATGATCCAGGCAGAATGTTGATCGAAGTAAAATATATATTTATACTTCGTGTCTTATAATTATTCAAAACCTCTAGCAGTCTGAGATGAATATATTTTATCTCTTTTTATTTTGTTGTTAAACGCAAAGCTACATAATGGGCTTTCTACAGTATGCCTACTGCAGAGTTCGAATCGAAAATTTTAGCTTTATAAGTCTTCATGCTTACTGCTGATATAAATCTGTATAAGTCCAATGTAATACTTGTATTCAAATTCTATGCATTATATACTAAATATAGTATTAAATCAATTCTGTTACATATATTCTAGGCTTATGCTTCACTCTATACGATATATAGGAACATATTTTGAGTGTTAAAAGTTTAATCATGAACGTTTTTGTTGATGACATATATTTTAGCTCGCAAGTTTATTCAACACTGGGCAAAACATCGCTGGGGAGTTTTTGAAGAGTATGTCGAACCAGCATTGCTCCTCGCCGAGTTACGCATGGCTGAAACAGGGATTCCTCGAATAGGGATCGAGCCACTGTTTATTCTAAGCAAAGTGATTCACGGTGTATTTCCGTCTGTATGTGCGTGGCCAGGAGATGTGAGACTCTTCAGGCGGATCTTGAATGCTGGAACTACATAGTAAGTCAAAACACATCATTGATACTAAAAACCAGAACTTTGAAGAGAACATTTGTTCGTACAGTAAAATTAGATTGTGGAAATGCATCGTGTGCTTTAATATTATTTATTGTTTAATTTTAAAGTTCCTTATTTATTAGCAAAATAAAGTTTTTAAACTCGTGAAACAAAATTCATTTAATTAATATAAGAGTTTATTTTGAAGTTACTAATATATAAAATATCTAAAAAGAAACTTTTAAATAAAATGTTCATTTTCTACGCATAAGAATAAAATTGCAAAATACCTGATGAAATGTTATAACATTTTTAGTCGTGGCATAGCGGCTCATGTAACGGCTCTGAGTTTGTTTGTTGTTGTTTTTCATGTACAAACTTATACCTCATAGCTCCGTCATTTCATGGCCGACTCGAGATTTAATTATAGTTTTGGACTCAGGAGGTTAAACCCTTTTGATTGATGTATTTGACCACCCACAAGGTCTCATAGCTTAATTTGCTCTAATCCGGCCTAAGATAATCTAAATTTGGGTGTAGGCTAGTAGAGATCCTGCTGAGTAATCAAATTGAATCGGGTATACGCGCACTCCATGCTTGGTGATGCTGGCACACAAAAATATAGTTAAAAAGGTCTCATAGATTAATTTACTGCAGTGTTTCCCAACCATTTTCATCGCAACGTTCCTTTTAATAAATAATGAGCGCTAAAATGATAGTCAATTGCAAATTTTAAAATATTTTATTTCAGCAAAAATAGACATTATAGCACACATTCTTAAAAATTACTTAATTGCAAAAAGGAAGAAAAGAAAATATATAGTGGTAACACACATGAGTAATGAATTAATTTCTAATGACTACCTTGAGCTTGGTGACCCTGTGCTTGCGACAAATACATCCACACCATGATTTTTGCTCAAACGTGTTGAAAGAAAAACCCCTAGTTCTTATGGTTTGATTTAAAAAAATATAACTTTGAAATTCTCCAAACTTTTCTGTCCGCTCCTTGCCTCCTCCTCAAAGTTTCCTGCACCCCTGAATTTTAAAAACGCTCACTAGTGCCGCAGCTATTGAGGATTCCTTCTTGTTGAAGACTTTACCAACTCATGTTTTTGGACAATTTTGAGATTGATTCCAATGTGTACTCTTGTTCTCAATGAGTTATTAAATTTAAATACTTTTATAAAATACATTTATAAATCAGTTTGAATGCAATAGTTAGTTGGTTTAAAACTATTATTTATAATTGAAAAGACATATTCAGTTGAAAGTTTAATCTTCACCAAACTACATCTAAGGCTATCTGTTCTTTATTAAAATATCTATGTAGGAATGTTATATGCTGATATTCTGTTAGAAGTGAACAAATTTTTCCACATGTGCAGTAGTGAAATACATGTTTTGTGAAAATAATGTCGAATTAACTTATTTTTGTTTATTATTCACAGAGTGACTCAAATATAATGGTTTTATTTGTACTTTTAACGTAAAGATACAAAATGGGCTAACTGTGCTTTATTCACCGCGAGGAATCATACCCCGATTTAGCTTTGTAAGTCAGTGAACTTGTCGTTGACTCACCAAGGGCCACCATTATAAAAACCTGAAGTATTATGAATACAACGTTATTGTTTTTTAGTCGATATAAAACCAGTACTAGCAGCAACACCTACAGTGGAATAAATTTCTTCGAATAGACCTATTCCATTTTCTTTTAGGTTTGTATTTCCAGGGTGTTATCTAGATATAAACTGCTCTCAGAAAATATATTTCTTCTATACACGTTTTAAAGCCTTATCGCTTTTGGGCCACCCTTTACAATGAACATGCTTTATGAAAACAATGTCTAAACCAAGGTTTTCCAACTAGGGATGTTAGCACTTCCTGGGGGTGTGAAATGAGGGTCCAGGAGGTGCGCGGAAGAGGTCTATACAAGGTCCGTTTTCTCCCAGATGTCTACAAGAGGAAATGTCTAATGCGCACTTTTTTAGGGGAGGGGTGCAAGGGCCACAAAAGGTTGGGAACCATTGGTCTAAACGATTGTACTGGGAGAAATTCATCGAGTGTGTACTTTTTTTCTCAGTACAGTTTGCAAGGTACGATTCACATTATTATTGTATTTTTAATTCCTTCTGGTTAAATGTTAACAATTCTTACTTTCAGCAACATTCGGACCAATGAAACCTGTGACCCACAAAAGGCTGTTAACCCTTCTAGTGAGTTAGTAGACAAGCTTTCTTGTACGTACAGAGTGAACGGTGACCTCGCAAGTAATAATTCTGATAATGTATCGCTTATGTCATTGGTGGACTTTTCTCGCGTAAGTAAAAAATGACAGCTATTCAGTAGTTTTATTCTTTCTTTAAAACTATATTCCTCTTTATAGTAAAATGTCGAGTCTATTTGAAAATCTTAAAATCATATTTATTGTACTATATTTTGCTATAAGTTGGGAATAATTATTCGATTTCCTGTTTGAAATGAAAGTAGGGACCAAATATAGAGTCCAACTTAAACAGCTCACTGCAAACAGTTGGAATCAAATAATTATCTCACCTTACCAGTTAGAGCTGCTTACAAAAGGAATGTATTTCATTTATTAGACAAGATATCGTTGCATGGTAAGTAGAATATACGGCTACCTAAGAACAATTACTAATTGGTTATTAGATATTAACTGCTAATTAGTTGTACCTTACATTTCGTCTGCTAATCTGATATCATCTTCAGAGAATTTCTGAAAATGACTGTTTTCTATTTAGTGGCTGGAATTCGATTATGGGTCTTCATATTACAAAGGTTGATGTGCAATTCATTCATTCATCGACACAATTCACGCTAGAAATAGAAGATGATAATAAACTCACATTCCTATATATAAGACACGTAACTCATACACCACAAGAATTTACATGAAACTCACAGATACTAGTAAATACTATGGACTACCTAGTCTTCAGAATGAACAAGGTTTTTAATACAGAATTAATTAAAGAGAAGAAAAAGAACATATCATTAAGACCTTTCTTGAAAATGGGTATTCGATCAAGAAGATAAACACTATTATTAATAAAGCTACATATTTTCCTACATTAGAGGATATGAAAGTCCGAACAGAAATCAAATTTCAGAAGCGAAGGTATAGACACATAGCCGTATTCTCCTATATCATGAAAACATCAGAGAATATGTAAGTTAAAACAAAATTCAGATTTAAGAGGCTACTACACAATACAATTGTATTTAGTACAAACTAAACTACTTATAGTCCCAGTGGAGAGAAAAATAAAATTTACAACATTTCTTGTGAGTGTGGACTGCAATCATTAGAAAAATTAAAAAGACCAACGCAAATCAGAAGTCAGGGGCATAATAGACGTATAAGACTCGTAATGTCGATCTATCTGCAATGTTCAACCGTGTCAGGAAAATATCATACAATGATATGAAATAATGCTAAAATAATAGTATATGAACCACATATAAGAAAGAATAAGAAAGATAAACGAAGCTCTCTAAATCCATGTAATTAATAGTACACTCAGTTAGCCCGACACAGACTTCGGCAAAACCTGGATACTCCTGTTGAAACCATTCAAATAATGTAATTGATCCGAATCACAACGTGGGAGACATAGACGAGTGGATAGAGCACCAACCTTTCTAGTAAGAAATTCGGTCTCTACCAGCACTGAAACAGTTCTCAGGACTTTCCTGAAGGTGGGTGCAGGTTACTAGCCGAAATGTAGGTAAACTAATCCGTATTTAGATATAATAATAAAGTAACTAATTAGTAATAACACTTAGTTGATTGAATAAACTACTAAGCATGACAACAACTGATATCTAGTCGCACTTACCGCAAGTACTTAAACCAAATATGTTATTCCACTGAAATCACGCTTTGATATTAAGGAGGCTGCACCATCCCCATTTTGATGGTAGTGTGATTATATCGTAACATCAGTGGATTTTAATTCCTCACTTTTGACAGTTGAAGTTTGTTTACGACAAAAATAACCATTTCAATTGTTACGTATTGGAATTTCAAATGGCCTGAAATTGAGTTGACTGATAAATTTAAATTTAGTAGTTAAATTGTACTTTAGATTTAGCAGTTAAGTAAAAGCCGATATATAGTCAATTTATGATATTTGCCAACAAGATTGATACACACAATTTTCTTTTTTAACACAAATACGTTTTAATATATACGCAATAATACAATTCACAATAACAGTTATTACAAATCGTTATTACAAACAATGATTCATAAACAAAAGTTCCACAAACTTACAAGCAATATAAAGTTTTCCTTTTAGTCTGGAACTTCTTCGATATCTTATCGAGGATTCATGATGAGCAGGTTGATTATGAGTTGACGTAGGTATAATTCACTTGACGGGAAGCTAACTAGCTTTGTCCTCCGTTATTTATCAGCCACATAAACACCGGGTTTTTCACCGTGACGTTATGAAATGTTTTCGTAAAAATACTAATGTCCGATGAGAATCCACTGAAGTTAAATGAGTTGTAATGTTCGAACTTTGTAAATGCTCCTGGTCAAATATCTGAAGTTTTCCGATTGGTAAGCGTTATAACAATCACAGTTATAGCTTCCAAAGTTTTATAGCACACTGATTATATATAGCGAACTAATAATAGATACTCTATGGCGCGTCGCGTTGGTTATATTTATAGCGTGGGAAGGTTTTCTAGGAAATTCAGATTACGTAATAATACTGAACCAGATTTAAGCATTTACGTATATACATCTATTGTTGATTCTTACTTTCGAGAATCTTCTACAACTTTGGAGAATAGGCGGGGGTTTCACAATACATATTTAATAGTATAAGCTATGTATGTTTCTAAATATAAATTTAATATAAACAAACTTTGATATCAAAATAAATATATAATAACAAATTCGTTACACAATACATTCCCAAATTGATGAAGCATGCTATCGGAACTAAACTTAACTATATTCTACCGAATCTGCAAGTGCTTGTTCTGTGTATTTATATATAAACATGTACAAACATTACCTTCTTTGTCTTGTGATTTACACAGTCAGATCATTTCTGTGATGAAGATACTCACCAGAAGAACGCAAAACATCCACAGAACATCTTGTGTAAAGCAAGTATCTGGAAAACAATATCTTCGAAATCAGTTGTTGGTGATCTGCACAGTTCTAGGTAGGTGACAACATAACTAAAGTAAATGACATTATGCTTTCATAAACTAGAATGAGTACTAGAGCTGTCACTCCTTACATGAAATAAACAACAACACAAACTGGTTATTATTAAAGTTAGCAACATAAAGTAGCCAACATTTGTGGGTTAATGCAGCATGTCTCTACCACGGAATCGCAACATGGCCAATTTTGACACCACAAAAATCGTGAAAAACACAGAAAAATTGAAAACTGTCTATATCACTGCTTGGAACCTACAATAAGGTATCTTTGTAGCAAATCCTATCTAAGTTGGTTGACATACACATGAATAGTTCACGAAAACCTCAAATTGTGCTTTCCTCGCTGTAAATTTGAGCAAAAGATAAAAATTCCTAAATTGTTTATATCTCTGTTTGGGACCTGCAAAGAGTATCTCTGTACTAAATTCCACGTAAATTGAACAAAATATGGCCGAGTAATTAACCAAACACCCCAAAATTTTTTTTTGTTTGTGATTTCTGACCCCCCCCCCCAAAAAAAACGATTCAAAATAGGCAACTCCATTTTCTTATAGTTCAATGTGTTGGGCGTATGAAAATTTATATTTATGCCAATTTTCATCTTGATTGCTGTAAATATGACCGCACAGGAGCCCAAAATATACATTTTTTGTTTTGTTTGGGTTGCTTGATCTTTGACCCCATAAAATCTTCAAAAAGGCCTAAATAAAAAAGGTTTCTAGCGGTATTTGACCGAGGTATAAACCTACCAAGTTTTAGAACAATCAGCCGAGAAATGAAGGAATGGCGGTCGATTGAAAACTATTTGGAAGAAGTTTCTTGTTTGTAATTCAGCACAAAGCTGCACAATGGACTATCTGTGCTCTGCCCACCACGGGTAAACATACCGCTGTGCTACTGGATGGCATTTGGAAAAAGAAGAAATAATAAAAAACAGTATGTATCTTAGAAGAGACATAAAAATAGGGAAGATAGAAACAGATATGTTAATGTGAAACGCCAATTAATCTTCCCATCTAGGTAATTATTGGATATTCAGATATTTCTCAAAATAAAAAAACACGTCTCGGTATAGTAATTTTTTTTATTAGGGTTTTATTTGGTTGTTGAATTTCTATTGAAGCTTAAGATAACGTTCTATTTTTATTAATGCAGATATAAAATAGATTGATTAACAAATACGAATTATGTCCATAAACTTTAAGGTTTAAAGAGGTGAAAGAATGATGAAAATTGGTGATAGAGATATACGGAATTTGGTTCAAGAGAGAATTCTGTTAACGTTGTCACCATCTATGAGACACTTGAGTTATATACTTCAATGTTTTATACATTTCAGTTTCAAATAATTTAGTCAATTCAAGCACCGGAAATCTTTCCTTTCGTCTTTCAATGATATGTGATACAATATGTCAACTATTTCATAATCATTCTGGATCACAACTGTGGTATAAAGTGATATTTATCAGTATGTTGATTGCATTGTTTTTTGGGTCTGTTATAAACACGCTCGTGCAGCAATTAAAGTTTTGCAGAAGATAATGGGTAATTTAACTCAATGGTGTTAGAATTGGCAAATAACCCTTAATCCACATAGAATGCAGCAGATTAGTTTTAGGAGTAGGGGAATGACGAGTATCTAAAGTGGATAGAGCGCAGATAACTACACAATGAGCTATCTCCAATTTGTACTGCTATAAACACTCAAGTTTACTTCCCTCTGAGCCACCAGGGGTGATATTAAGTAGAATACATTTAATTTACTCTTTTCACTCTATAATATATTAATGTTGATGAATTTAAGTAAGCCTATTTTTTTTAAACCTTTTTTAAGTCTCCCTGATTAGTTGAACTCCTATTTTACCTTTCATAATCATGTACCTTATTTTAACCAGTTTTATTTAACTTAGTATATTTAATAACTTTTTAATTTTTCTGTGTTTTTGTTTTTATTTTCTTATTACTTATTTAATTTATTTTGTATTCGTTTTAAATTGTAATTGTTTCATTTGTACTTTAAATTTATATAATTATGTAGTTATGGAATATATTTATTTATCTTTATTTTTATGGTAGAAATAATTACCATAAAGAAATATTTAAGATAAAGTGGCGGAAGTGACCAAAAGTGACCCTAATAAACAGCTTGTTTCTCCTGTATGTTCCAGCATGGGATTATACATCATCATGAATAGTCTACAATTATACTATATCATGCATAGAGGTCTTTAATACATAATTACATCTTACGTATAGTATTAAAGCATTTATACCAAACATGTTTCCAAGTTGTTGCTTATTTTTTCACATTTAGACATATATATTTTATCATATATGAATGAATTAGAAATATCTGTAAAACTAGTTATAAATACAACATGCCTTATAGTAAATTATTAATGTAGTTCAATTAACAATTTTGTATGAATTGCACATACATTGAGTTATATTCATTACATAACAAAAAATTTACAAGCTGATATTTCAAACTTATTTCTAGCAAATAAATAATACTGTGAAGATAAAGCAATTTTTCAACATACAACAAACAAGTAACCAATACTACTTACATGAAATGTTTGACAGAAGAAATGTTATTTTTATAAAGCAACTTCCTAACATACAAAGAAGAAAAAAAAACACAACGTTAAAGTTTAAAAGCCTAAAACTGGCGAACCATTGGAAATCAATAGGCTCAATAAATGAGATAAAAATTACACAAACTGATTTTTTCAAACTCCTTTAAATATTTTCCTTTCGGAATTGTAATTAGATGTGCGGGTAAAATTAGCCTTTCAGATCCGTCTTTTGCCTCCTACAAATTACCTTCCAAGAAGCCCTTGTCAACTGGATTTGAGGACGAGAGAAAAAGACTAGCTGAAACGCTATTTAGTGTTAGTGGCGGGTGCTATTGACTAGCTACTGTTGCGTCAGCGAGTCACATGACTACTGTGACGCCACGTTTCTAGAACTATCCTGTACTTTGGCGAATGCTCTAGTATTTACTAGATATAGGGTAGTCGGGTATATAAAAGAGGGGGACAACGTGACGCGGTAATGTGTGTGTAGACAGTGAGTAATTGATCTGCAGTCAGAGTATTGTTGAAGTTGAGTGTATCGGTAAAGTTATATTCGGAAAGAATAAACAGGTTTTATCAAAGAAAGCACTTGTGTCGCTTAAGTTTTGTCGGAACAAAGTTACGGAAAGTTAATTAACAAACAGAGACGTAACAATATCTTTATTGTTGTAATTTGTAAATATACTAAAAAATATTTTTTAAATAAAGGCAGTGGTGGGATTCAGCCGGTTCGCACCGGTTCGTGCGAACCTGTTCTTAGAATTTAATGACCTCCACGAACCCGTTGTTAATCGTATGTATAGGCCTAATAATAACGTTACAACTTACAAGTACGCGTGTTTACAACGCAACTTTAGTAGCAGGCTAGGCGGACTAGATCTCTGATGAATCATTTGCCAGCAGGTAAGTGTTTTTTTATACAGATTCTTATGATCCTATCTAAATTATTATTATTAGATCTAACTTAGTTATATCAAATACTATAGGCCAAGCAAATCTGTGCCGAATTATTAG